CTGCCGCCGTCGCTCCGGTCCAGCTGCAGATGTTCACACAGCTGGCTGAAGGACCCTAGCGCCGCCCGGCAGGTCGACGACGACACAAACTCATCAAACAGCTCCTGAGCTCGGCATTCTGGGTACAACTCGTCTCCCATGGCGACCCCGGATGCTGCAGGGCACCATGGGAAGGGTGTCACCTGCGGACGATGTCACTGACAGACTCCAGCTCGTCTGAGAGGAGTCACCCTGAAACTGAAACGATGGACACATTCAGACATTTTATCTACAAATTATTCTGAATTCTGGAAACTGTTACTGGAGTTTGGAGACACAAGGATTGTTCAGACTATAAATAAAGTTAAAAAGCACCAAAATATAAACACTGGATGGTAAAAATGTCTTAAAACTGGATAGCTTAGCTATCTTAGCAGCAAAACTGGAAGTAGAGGGAAAGTGCTAGCTGCAGCTTTATCACAGTGTCATAATGATGTCACTGTGTGTTCACAGTGAGTGTTAGCAGAAACAAAGAGACTCATACAGAACGGATCCATCTGTACCAATCACCAACACACACACACACACGGTTATTAAGTTTAATAAACAGTCAGATTTATCTGTTTGTCAATCAGCTATAATTTAATAATAATTTAAATGCAATTTTCTGGAATTTTCTAATTATGTACTAATAATTGTTAATAGAGAGATGTCAAAAAATGTAAAATACTGTCTGAAATTAAACTTTTCCAGCATACCATAAAACAAACAATAATCATCAATAAATACACTTTACACTAATATTTGATGGTACAAAACTTAAATTTCTTCTACCATGTACGGTTGATTTTAAGGTTTAATCCATATTATAATAAATAAATACGTTTTTACCAGCAAAAGAAACTGTTTTGACATATGAAAATACCACATGAACGCTATGATGGTGGTTTTCTATGCAATTTAGTGTGTATTAGAAATAAACTCTATAAATTCCTTTAAAATGCTGTATAAATAACGGTTTTGCGATGAGATATCAGTGATTTACTGTTACAGAAACTGAAACCTGAGTTAACTGACTTTTACTGTCATTGTTTTTCATCGAAAAATCTAGATATTATTTACAGTGTACAAAATAAACAACAAATACGAGGCAGCAGGAATATTTACTTATTCCTTATATACAGTTAAAAAATAGACCAAAGTTTACAGAAATTAATGCTCATTAATTCTTCAGCCACTGAGTCCGACAGTAAAGGTCGAAGAAACCATGAAGTCAGTGTAGATAAAAGAGACACCTGCTCAGAAACACACCTGTGAGCCACCATAAAGGTGAATTTCACATCAAAAGCACTAAATTATGACCATAATCTACTCTTTTACAAAAAAAATGCACATTCATATTAAAGTTTAAGCTTTTTCACTGAGTTCAGTCTGTATCAGATCCTGCTGTAACAATCACACACTCAGATATAATGTTGAGATGTAAATGTGTTAAATGAATCAGTGTGTACTCACGTCTCAGAGAACTGATTTCCATCTCCAACTGCTGCCAGTGAACATCTAAATCCACCTTAATCACACACACACACACTCACAGCGTCTGAGGTCAGGTGGGGGGCGGAGTCAGTGCAGAACAGGCTCCGCCCCCCTGAGAACAGACAGTAATCTGTGTTTGAGCTAACGAGATTAACAAAAGGAGATCAGGAGCCAGAGATCATTGACGGTGTCATCGTCACCTTCATCGTCTACCGACTCCGCAGCGCCACCGCCAGGATGTCACACACATTACTTCCTTGTGTTGTTAAATCAGTTCATATTCTGGTGTTGGTCCACCAGTTTGGTCCAGTTAAAGGTTATTATGGCTCAGTAAAACTAATTTATTTTAGTTCACTAAAATAAAAATAAAAACTCAAACAATATTGATAATAAAATACACAGGTAATGTGTGTGTGACAACTACCTTCATATTATAATAAAAAAACTAAAACCAACACTGAAACCAATACAAACTGAACTAAAACTAAACATTTTCAAATAATAAAAACTTCTGAAACTAAACTGAAAAAACTAAAATCAAAATAAAAACCAATGAAAAATACAACCCTACAATGACAAAGACCACAATAACAAATAAGTTATTTTTCTAAATACGTTTTTGTCGCAATGTTTGTAAATTAAATCAAATATTATTTAGATTTTATAATATATATAATATAATTGTTTATGAGGCTTTTCTTGTTAAATAATAAAATATGATTTAAGATATTATCTTCACAATTAAAGACATCAGATTAGATAATATGTATTTTAATGAATTAATATACATTTTTGCATTTTAAACACATATAAATGTACTGTAAAACAATAAATGTCTCTTATTGTCACTTATGAAACATAGAAACTTCATATAAAAGCAGAATCAACTCTTCAGTGGGGCTCCCTCTAGTGGTCGCTGTAACAATGACACTGACCAGAAAATACAACTACTTCTTCTTGCACTTTTAACGGAGGTATGTAATAATAATGCTTATTATGACTTCTTATGTGATTCCAGTAAACCAAAAAAAACAAGATATTTGTTTAGCTTTGTGATTGTCTCACACATTTTCCTGACATTTAAAAAGTGCACTACGTAAAACTTACGTGACAGTAAAAAGTACAAACAATTGTAATAACTGGCTCTAATTAACCAGCTTTAATTCATAAATTATTCAATTCAGATGATATCAGTAACATATTTACACTCAAACAGGTAACAGTTTGTAGACGTCATCAGGAGCTTTGCTGGAAAGAAAGAGCAATAAATAAAAATCAATAAATAATAACATATCAAATCAATAAATATGGTCAAACAGTAATGTGTTTCTCACCAGCAGAGCTCGTCCTTTAGTTTCTATAGGTAGTAGAAAGTTTCCCAGAGCGCAGACCACACAGGCCACAGCGAATGGACTAAGAGCCTGAATCACCGACTGAGACATCAGCACCTGAAGTACACGCAGAGTCAGCGTCAAACATGGACGACAGAAACACCTGAAAACTCACCTGAGTGGACACTGAACCCACCTGAGCTATGAACGGAGCAATCATTCCTCCGATACGACTGAACGAGGTACAGAAACCCATCCCCAGAGACCGAGCTGCAGTGGGATACACCTGACAGACAAACACCTGTTATCTGACACCTTATCAATGAAAACCTCACACACACAAACCATCACGTAACCTGAGATCTGGATCAATAATAAAATCCTCTACTAAAAAGAGTTTGGAAGTACCTCAGCGGTGTAAATATAAACAACATTGAAGTTCATGGAGACCAGAGACCGGAGCAGGAACAGCAGAACCGTGAACCCAAACCTGGAGAGAAAAACAGGGACAGAAGGTCTTCATTTGGACACAGTCAGGCTGAAGGTCCTCACAAACCTGTATCAAGTCAGACTAGAGGTCGTCATAAACCTGTACCAGTCACAAACCTGGTCTTACAGTAACAGCAGACAGAAGAAGTCTCTGAGGTTCTTACATTGTGGTGCAGATGTTGAGCATCATGAACAAAATTGCAGAAATCAGCTGCAGCACCGTCAGGCTCATCTTTCGTCCGATCACGTTTAGCAGACAGATGTTGAGTGGGATCACTGGGAGGACGGGATCAGACATGTGTTACACCATAAACCTGAACTGTTATTTATTATTTTATATAATATAATAATATAATAATATTATTAATTTTGAATAATTGAAGACAATTACAATTTTACCACTAAAACTGTGTTTACAAAAAGCATTTATATGTGTTTACATCTGGCTATATTACAGGCAGTTAGCATACCAACATGCTAGCACACACAGTAACAATAGTATGGATTTAGTCAAAATATTCCATTATTTGGAGATAAAACAAGTGAATCAATAAATAAAACATGACATTTTGGGAGTTTGGTTAATAAATCATTAGTTTCTAAGATGGGTGGGATCCAGCTGCCATTGTGTCTGCAAACTGATAAAACTGTAAATATTCGTAGATGTTGGTCTGTGACTTACGTGCGACCTCTCCCAGGCAGCTGATGAGCAGCGTCTGGTAATCATTCATTGCGAAGGGGATGCAGTAACACAGTCCGTCCTCGTGGCGGTGTTTGACCTGATGCTCTCGATCTGCATCCGTCACGCACAACAAGTTCTTCTCCAACAGCTCCGAACTGCTCAGCACCGAGCCATAGTACGCAAAGGACGCCACGAACCTGAAAGACAAACGATGCAAGTCAGAAAACTGGAAACATTTTTTCTGTTTTATATTTTAAAAAACACTTTTAGTCTAACAAGCAAAATTAAGAATAAAATATATACACAATATATATACAATCTGAACTTTAAAACCATTACAAGGAGATAATTAAGCTTGTTTTTGTCAGTTTGAAACCACGTATGTGTATCATTGACCTGGAGAAATTTCTTCATCCCTCATTTCATCCAATCTTGGTAACTAACTCAGTGAAACCACATTACATACGGCCACACTGGAGGCCTAAGGTGCCAATCGTGAACCATGACTTGCATATCGTTCCCCACATTCCTCTCTCCCCGTTTCCTGTCATCACTGCACTGATGTTGTATAATAAAGTCCAAAAGGTAATGCAAAGAGAACCAAATCACATGAAAAGTAAAGAGGGAATTGAGACATTACCATGAATACCAGAGCAGTAAAGACGTCCTCCTGAATGATGGACTGAGAAGAATCCTCCAGCTGCCCCTCTCTTGCTGAAATGCAAACAATAAGATTAAAGAACTCCACCTGCATTACACCGCATGTATCAAGACAACAAGTAAAAAAGCAGGAGGTGGAGGGAGGCTTCACACATAAATATAACATAAAGGCCTAAAAACATAAGGTATTAAAGAACTGGCAATGTCAGACATATTAAACACTTTCAAATATTAAACAGTTAAATAAAACAAGCAGACTACTGCCTCCAAAATTAGCACAGAGGTGAATCAAAACACAGTCGGTTGAATTGCAATCTCTGACAACCATTTTTCTCTTGAACTTGGTAGCTTCATTTCCTTGTATAGAGAAAGTAATTATGGTGTATCTCAAGGCTCAATTCTGGGTCCTTATTAGCTTCCCCTTGTTCACATTATTAATTTACATTATTATATATGCAGATGACACTGTTATTTCTTAGAGGGAAGTTATTGTTGTTCGAGGGAGACCTAAATGATGTAATGATGTATAAAGATGTTTTTTATCTGATATAAACCTGTTTCAAATAAATAAAGACAAAAAAGACTGAATAAGCAGTGTTGCTGAATCTAAATACACTTCAACGGATATTGACTATTTTGTTGTTATTTCCACCCACAGCACTTCATTAATTAGTTTCTGTCCTAGGACTCCCAAGTCATTAGTCGACTCATTGTGAACTCATTGTAGACGGGACTTGTTCTGATTGGCTGATACTGAAGCTCGGAGGGAACATACCACAGCCGGTTCCACCAGTCGTCCAGGAGGGAGAGAAGCTCGGTTCATTTTAGCGATCTTCTGCAGAGTTTTAACAGCCGCCTCAATGTTTCCTGCTGACACGTTGTACCGAGCCGACTCAGGAATAAACTGAGAGACAGAGAGAGAGACAGAGAGGGAGACAGACAGAGAGAGAGAGAGAGAGAGAGAGGGAGAGAGAGAGAGGGATAATATCAGTAATATTAGCAGTGGGAGTCAAG